ACGAGTACTGAGATTTTACAAAGAACGGTTCTGACTGATAAACCTAGAAGATCTCCTAAAGGATTAGCATTTTCCAATAAATAGGAGTATGGGGCTCATAAATATAAGTTCAAAATCATCATTGTGAGCTGCAGGTAAAAAGGTTTAAATTGGCTTGTACAGGCACTGCTGTAGTTTCCCCTAAATTCACTTAGATGTTTTTAATGTAGAACCCCATGCATACAAAAACAAGCATTCTAATCCAAGTATATATATATTCATTAAAATAGTTAACTGCATTTAAAAACAAACACCACTAGTATGGTTGCCTGAAATCTAGCTATATATATTATCTTCCTGCTATAGCTTGTACCTGCAAATGACAACTAAAACAAGGAATAGCAGATTATGTACTGTACCCAATCAAGTTATTTTGGACTGGACAATGCTGCCAATCTGACATGATTTCAAGCACTAGGGGCAGGGAAAGGGGTTTAAAAGAGAGGACTAGGAAGGAGTTAATGGGAATGATCATTGATGGTCCAATCAGCAGTCAACTAACACAAGAAGTTGCAAAGCTGAAAGGACCGGTGACTGGTGTCATCACATCTGAGTGTGGAGCACTGGTGGTGCCCGGATCACAAGGCTTGATGAACAAGATGACAGAGCTAATATAATGGCAATTATACAAGGGCAGTTACAAGAACTAATGTTTATGTATGATAACACTGTATTTAGCCACTTGATTAGAGCTCTGCTATAACAGAGTAGTGCAAAGAGACGAAACTCAAAGAAACAAATCAGTTTTCAATTTGTTTATAATCAGATCAGTTAACACATTACGATACACTTTGCTCTTCACAGTGATGTCACCTTGCATGGTTTAATAATTAATAGCGTATATCTCACTGTACTCCAGACCAGAATCCCAATATGATAAGAGGAGTGCTGGTATGATCTGCGGATGGCACAGCGTTAATCCAAATGCACAAGTAGTCACCCACACAGCAAGGTCCAATGTGTTTAAACGCCTTTATTCAGACGCCAAGAATACATGGTGACACTAGTGGACAGCAATGCTTTGAAACTATTGACGGTCCCCTTCATCTACAACATCTGCAACCCATAGTGATGTTTGCCTAATGAAGGGACTGTAGCTGCGTTTTAATAAATAGGACCAAATCCTTCTTTATAGGGATGCATAGATACCAGTGCCGATACTTGGCATTTTCAGGAGAACTACCAGGGTTGCAGATGTTGTAGCTGTGACTGGGCCTTGGCGCCCCATCACTGTCTTGAAATCGGTGCATACCTAACGATTTGTTAGAGATATATCTATATAGATATATATCTATATAGATATATCTCCTTTAGGAAATAAAATGTTGCATCACAACAGTGACTAGCAATTGTAGAACTTCAATGATAAAAGGGTGATGCTAAATCCAATATTGGCAAAATCTGATGTGTAAAAGACTAGGGCCAACATGGATCATGCTACACAAGCCTTGTCTGCATCGGAACAAAAAGGCCATTACTGAAAGTTCATCAATTCGTTAATTTAATGCGTCTTCATCTAAATGTGTCTTGTCTAAACTTAATGCTTTTTTTTTTTTTGCTGTCCACAACTGTCATTATCTAAGGAAGAAAAAATGCTATTTGATGTCAAACACATTCTGTAGCCAGTTCATCAGGAAGAAAGGTTTAGTGAGGATTGCAGTTAACAAATGCTGTTTCAATTATCAGGACTCAAAAATAGGATTCAGAGACAAAATATTAAGCGGCCGCCCTGAGCTCACTGCTGACTTAGCCGCTCATAAATTTCACGGTAAGATTTTCCAATGCAAGAGTCATTTTATTATTTAGGATTGTTGCATTTCAAAAGTACACTCACACAATATAAAGAGAGTTCTTTCAAGCTCGCCTTAGAATTTTTTTTAAGGTAGATCTGTTACCTTCCCCACAGTTGAGGTGACATGAGGACCTAAACCTATATCCAAAAAACTACAGCTAAATCACTCGAAAGGCATCATTGAGTTACAACTGATGTCCCACTGATTTCACCTCATTATTTTTAAGGAACCACTATATTAAAGTTGGTATAGTGCTTTGACCATCCGAATGCTCTGATTATCTACAGGCCAGTTACATTGTGTATATTCAGACACTATAATGGCTAAAGATTAGTCCAGTTTTGTTAAAGTGGACCTTCCACCACAGCAGCAAGGCCCTCTTACTCAAGGAACCCATCTGCCTTCCCTTAAATATCGCATAAAAGGAACCAGTGGGAGAAAATAATTGATAATATAACCACCTCACAATTACTTCTGTAGTGCAGGGGGTGACATCATCCTCCTACCGACAAGATAGAGGGAATGCGGAGTAGCCCAAATCTTGTAGTAAGGTGCTGCTGCACCATGCAGGATCCTCTTCTTGCAAGATTTGGGACACTCAACCCTCTCCGAGATCTGGATGTAAAACAGATGACATGACCTTTCCCCTTTAAGGAATCAAAATGATGGGCGCCCAGTGACAGAGTCCACGAAAGGTTTAATGTTTAAAATTCAATCAAATCAATAAAACAGCCAACACATTTTGGTGGCATACACATCCCCCTACTTCAACGCTTAAAACATTGCAGGACGTAATACCAAGATAAATCTTTTTACAAGATAGCTCTCCTGAGGGGGTACAATGAATGAAAATCAGTCACTCCCACGTAGGTGCTGTGGAAGGAAGTCAGGGAAAGTAAAGTATATTATCTATTTTTCCCCCATAGACAGGGAGGGAGAGCAATAAGCAGCCCTTGCCACTGAGCTGTAAGGTTTCCTTGAATAAACTAAATTAGGGGTAGGCAACCATGGCACACCAGCTATTGTGGAACTACAAGTCTCATGGGGCATTGCAAGACTGCCAGCCTGAAGCATGATGGGATTTGAAGTTCCACTACAGCTGGCGTGCGGAGGTTGCCTACCCCTGAACTAAAGCATGCTTCAGTCTTTAGAACATAATGTAAAGCATACCTTTGTAGACACAATCTCTACAGAGTAAGGGGAATACCCCTCCTAAACAGTTGCCCCCAGTGCAAGAATTCCCCTCACCTCTTGTTCTGGTGACATAGGCTCAAAAGGCAAAGCATGTATAAAACATAAAAAAGTGAAAAGGACCTTACCTTTAAGATGGATACATACGGATCTCCATCTTGGCCATACTTGCTGCCATTAATCTCCACGTGCTTTAGCCACTGAATGTGCGGTTGAGCATCGCTGTAAACCTTACAGTGAAACTCCACATCACTGCCAACTACCACCGTCTTATTGGCGGGTAACCCTGCCTGGAGAATGGGCCGATGGGAAGACCGCTCTGCAAAAAAGAAAATGTGATTCATTTACTATGTACAACGTTTGTCAGCTTCTCAAATATGATTTTCATGTCCATCATGCCAGATGCCCATTCCTAAAAACCGTACGCCTATTCAAATATGTGCGTCACCATCTTTCCATTCCATATGCTAGAATTGTGCAGCTTTGTCACACAAAAATATTTGTCTAGTGAAAGTGTCTCTGCACTGAAGCACAGAAGTATCTTGCTCCTATAACAGGGGCAGGCTGTCTCTTGTGTAATGTAGAGCTGCACGTCAAAGTAAGATTATATGACTGGTTCTCTGAAACAATCAAACTGGGCTATCTGTTGGGATCTCTCTTGAGAGTCCCATCAGATAGCCCAGTTTGACATGGACTAAAAAGTAAAGCAGCTGACCTTCTTGCAGCTGCAGCATGGAAATAATTGACCAGTTGTACCTGTTTTTAAGTGTATCCAACCCCAAGAAAAAATTATATATATTGCAGCCTACCTGTTCTAAGATGTGGGGGCGCGTTAGATTTTTGTCAGGCTTTCCCCCCATTTTTCTGCTAGTAACATACTTTCTGGCCTAGGGTCACAACTCTGCTTATACACTGTGCTTTATCTATTGAGTAGTGCTGCCACCCTTGGACAGGAAGTGTGTTAGAACTACAGAACATCCCTCTGCATAGCATAGGAGGAGGTGTCCAGTTGTTTACAGAGATAAGGTGGAAAAATGGTTGGAGCAGTTGTGGTAAACAAAGTCAACTTGCTGGACACACACGGCAAACCAGCTTTCCATTGCAAAAACAACCAAACTGATAAATGCAACCTACCACCCGAAGTTATAAAATGATCTAAAGTATTGCTCGTAGATTATCATGTATTTGTTAGGCTGTTTGTTATTGAAATCTTGAGTATATTACTATGTTGTACCAGCAGTGGCCTCAGTAGTCATAAATGTATTCACTTGTATGTAAGAGTGACAAGCAAACACTTAGCCAAGCTTTTATTTGTATAAAATCATATATATAATCATTCTACACCAACTGGAGGGTCACCATGATAGGGCAGGTAGTGAGAAAGGAAACCAAGCTCCTATAAATACACCTATCAGCACCAATAAGAGCCATGATATTTTGCCTTGTGCATACATCAAAACACCTCTGTATCTGCTTTAAAAATACGCTTTTTTGTTAGGCAGCTTTTGCCAAGTCATTTGGCAGGTTTGCTCACCTTTCCTTGGACCCATATGAAAGTTTCTTGTCAGTGTTGTTCTACGTGAAATTTGGAGGCCCCTGAAACCAGCTCTTCACAGGAGACTTTGTGGTTTGTGAAACTTGCTCACAAACATCTCTGCAGAACCGGTGCCCTGGTCCAACAGAAGGCTGAGAACGCTGCCAACGACTCAGCTATGTCCTATGCTGGGGCAGCTATTGGATATCTATTATGCCTATGCCAGGAAGGCAATTTCCTTGTATAGCAGAAAGAGCATAAACAGCACAAACAGCACAACAAACAAGCCAGGTATTGAAGGGTCAGACCACGTATACAGGACTTCTTCAATAAAAGCCACAAACAAGACTAGCTTTCAGAAGGAGTCATGAATATGAATGCATATCCGTATAAAATAGGTCTTATTATAAATGAAAGATACAGGCAAAGCTGAACATATAAGGACCACAGTTTATGTCAAATGGGAAAAAAAACAACCGTTGCACACTGTAACCAACCACATTTCATATGGTAAAAAACTCCTCCAAAAAATTACACTTTTTGAATGCAACTAATGCAAGTACCCAATGTGCCTGGATAGAAGCCTCCTGTAACCTCCTTCATACAAGCCCTGAGAAGGCTGATCAGCACTAAGAAACAATTAAGCTCCAGTACATGTATATGAGCAGACAGTAAATATGCTGACAGGAGGAAAAAGCAGAAAGATGAGCTTGTCAGAATTCTGATACTCCTTAAGTGTCCAATCAGTGGTAAGGTGGGGTGTCCTTGACCATGCCGGGCTACTACTGCAGGGGAAGTGGAGTTCTGCCTGGAAGGGGTGTCTGCATAACAAGAGTGGCTGCAGAGGCTTACAAATCTCCTGGCTGGTAAAACAAAAAGTTCTGTTGATTACAGCTGAGTATTGAGCTGCTTGTTTGAAGATCAGCTTTAAAAAGCAATTTAAGACAAGAAGCATTTTGTATATGGTTATAAGCAAGGCTTTCATTGTGCACTTGAACAGACTTGGAAGCCTCTGGCCAAGTTATTCCATACAATTTTACACATTCAGGTAAGCATACTCAGCATGTGAGGTTCTTGCACTAGCTATGCAGAAATGAAGCAAATCAATTATTTTTTTTCACAGGGTTAGGCATAGGTAGAGGAAAAGACTCACCTAAGACATCCAGCTGATAAGTGTGACGAAGTGTTCCATACTTGTTGTCCACAACGCAAGTATAGTTGCCTTTATCGGAAGGGACCACGCTCTCCATGACCACGCTCCACTGCTGGTGCCTCAACTGTAAAAGAATGAATAAACAATAAGAATACAGTGCATGCAACTCTGCAAAAATTTCCCAAGAGCTGAAGGGCCAGTGTTCCTCTAGTACTGGTTTATGGACAACCAGAAGCCGACAAACAGAAAGCTACCAGACCATTGTGACCTTAAAGGGCAAAAATTAAAGCGATTGCAAAATTCTGTTCTGATAAAATTTTTTATTTCATTCTAAATTCATAAAATTACAGCATTGGGCTCTACAGTGCCGTCCCCAAACATTATGCTATCCATATAATAAAACACAGAATCTAATGGATGCAAAATACAAATGTAAAAGGTAAATCTCCCCAACAGGGACACAGAGGTTCCAACCCTTCATATCACTTCCCCATTCACATATGTCGCGTTCTGGGTTACCTGCGACAAAACTTATGGATTGAAGTCAGGAATTCCAGTAGTTCCCCGTATAGATATGACCAGTGTACCCATTGAAGTCAATGATGTGGTGACAACGGCCACATCTCTTCACACCATTTGGCATTTAATCCTATACAGTGCGATTTCATGCAGTTTGGGAAAGATTGTCCCTGGACAGAGGATTGTTATTAAATTCAATAGGTACAGCAGATACATCTGAACGAATGAGGACACCTGGGACTCCTGTACGTTTTGCGGCAGCATTGACATGTGAATTTAGTCCAAAATGCACCAACCCTCAAAAGCCTCTTACCCCTTGAAATCAAGAATTACATAGTTCTGAGATTTTCAAGGTAACTGGTACCTACTGGCCAATCAGTTCCTAACACTGCAATCTGGAATTGTCAGCAACTCTTAGGAGGGGAGTTACGCCTTATAAGCATTCTTACAATATGGGAGTATCTTCGACCTAAGCACGGCAACCTTTCATAAGAGTGAGGGAGAAGTCATTCATTTTTCGATGTTCTGCTTCATATCTTTATAAACACAGGAGTATGATCACAGAGATTATAGTTAAGTTATCTCTTCTCTCTCTCTCTCTCTCTCTCTCTCTCATCTTCAATCTAAATGGTTCTGTTTACTGGGGCATCTGATCTCATAACATCACGTCCTCACTGTCTAACTCAGGAACACAAGGTATTTATACACATTCCCTAATGATCTCATTTTAAAGAGCTAGTAAGTCCCAGGCATAGGAATGTATTAAACCCCAGGTACCTGCAAAATACTTGAATCATAATTATTAATTTGAGGACCAAGGGTGGAGATGCAGAAAAACAGGACATGGCTTTAATTAAATACGGGTATTGTTGGGTGACAGGCGCTCAACTGAATGGAAGCTTTCAACAACAAAATTTGTCAATTTTGCCAGTTGTTTTTTAATAAAATATATTGTGTTTTAGGTGGATTTGGCATTTAGGCACATGGTGTGAGCAACATAAGCCAAAGCCATGCTCCTTGGCAAACAGATGACCTACTTCTCTTTCACTGTCCAGTCACAGGCTGGGGGCAGGTCCAGGACGACCTGGGCTAAATGAAACTGATCAGAATGAGGACATCTAGTGGAGGAAATAAGTAGTGCGGGGCAAATCTCTAGGTTGAGAGCGAATATTGGTTTTGTTATTTTACCTTTTAATGTCTATTCATTTTTATTTTATTTTTGGCTGGAGTTCAGCTTTAAATGGCCAACTGTGAAACATGCTGTAAAGTAATTAGAAGCTTCAGCTAAAGCTTTTTTTTTCAAGTTTTGGACAGAGCCAGGAAGGGTTAGAACCCTTGTAAGGTTTTATGGTCTATATCTATGCTGGAAATAGCCACCATCCAATACGTTTTATGTAAATCTGGATAGAGGAGGGTTTTTTATGCTTCCCATCTCCCATCCCAATGAATGTGTCCCACGTGTCCATTTTCCTTTGCTTATTGTCCTTACTTTTTTTTTTTCAATCTCCCTATTTCCCAATTTCAATTCCCCTATCTATGGCTACACAATGTGCATGGAAGAATCTCCACTGCTGATTACTGAACTCAGCAGCTGTGGCGCCAGTGATGCCTGAAAACAATAGTGCTACCAGATAGTGTTTGCATCTGATCGGATCCAGTCACTGATAAGTCGATAATCTTCCATCCTGGTCAGCTGATCTGTAAATCGTTTCTTGTAGAGCTGTGGGTCGTGCTTGTAGGACCACCCACGGCTCAAGTATTGTAGGAATCAGCCGAACGCTGGACTCTCTATGGCCAGATATATTTTAATACAGCCTCATTGATAAAGGTAAGCCTACTGACCTTTAGAAAACTTTCATACAATGATTTTGTAGCAGCCTCCTCCGAGACAAACCCTGGCTGGCACGCTCAGGATCCCAGGCACAGCGAGACTGCACAGGAGTCTGGGATGGAATAATCCAAAGCTTTTTCCTGGGTCATTTAGTGTCCGCAGACTTACGATGACAGATTCCTGGGAGAATTTAAGTATTAAGGCTCTGAAATCTGAGGGGAAGTCGTATGACATTCTTCATAGAGGAAAGGGTGACTCAGATGAGGGTTGAGTACATAAGCAAATTATCCAAATGGTAAAGTTGGGATGGGGGGAATGAAATGCACCTGCATTAGATATTTTACATGCAGTTACCATAGTAACACCATAATCTCAATTTCACATTATTTATTTATCTATATATTTTTTTTTATTCAAGCACTGATCACAATTCCAGTGATTAATGGATAATGGAGCAAACCTTCCACGAACATGAAAGGCACCAGCGCTCAGTCATGGAGGACTCGGGTCCTAGAATTAATCCTCCTGGAATTAATTGCTCCTTGGGGATCCACCTTTCGGTTCTCCTTGGTTAACGTCCCCTGCACAGTGTTTATCCCTACAGATCACTAGCTGAAGATAGCCATAAATGTCTAGATATGGTTGGAAAATGGGAACAAAGGAAAAAGCTACAAACATTTTCACATTTTAAGGCTCATGGGGTCTATTTATTAAAAAAGAAAAAAAATATCAGAATTTGTGCAAATGTTGCAAATATTAGCCTTGTGAATGTGTAAAATACGTGAGAATGGTATTTCCTGATATTTAGGTTGTCTTTGGCAGGGTGAATGTAACATTCCCCAATACCCTAGAAACATTCGAATAAAAGAGAAAATATCCCAAAACAATAGCCTAAGGACATCCAATCCGAAGAAGAAATAGCCTAAAGCAGGGCTGGCCAAATCCCTGGAGCCAGGTAGCCAATACTCCTCAAAAATTAAAGTAAGCACCCAATTTTTAGAGGTTTTCTCCAGTCGTCAATGGAGCTGGCTCCTAAATAAATCCTGCTGTCTCCTGGACTTGACAGGCTAGATCCTGAATTCCATATCAATTTGTCCATCCCTGGCCTAAAACAAGAGGCTAAGAAAATTAGGCCAAAAGAGAAAATTGCTTTGGAACATTTGAACATTTGATTCTGCCTCATTTGTACAACAGCCACCGCTTTATACATTGTGCAAAAAATCTCAAAACTAATGAGCCAATGCTGGTTAGTTTGCACAGAATGAGTACACATGCAGTTTCACTTGAATAAAAAGCTGTACTTATTTTTAAATAGACAGACTTCTTAATGTTGCCCCCCCCCATTCTACTATCCTAGGCACTGACCCAAGAATACCTTATAATACATGCCTGGATCCCCAGCTGCTCCTTAACCCAATATGGTTGCTATCAGAACAGGCTGCAGAGCAAAGCCATGAAAGGGTCCAACACCAACATGATCATAATGCTGAAAACAGAGGTATAGGTCAGCAACGAAGTATATGTGATAGGACTGAGTTGCCCCATGACAGTTAGGAAAGTGACCTGAATGGTAAAGTCTGTAAATGTGGAATTATTTAGAAGGCCAAAATAAGGAGGACGCAATTGTAAATTTCTTCCCAAGTATAAAGAGGAATATTGTGAACGCTATTCAGTGTATACATTCTCCTGCACTGTACAGAATTAGGCAGGGAAGGTTTCCGAGTGCCTTTAGTCTTTTCTTTCCCCGCATCTACAGATCCTGTTGGGAACAAAGTGTTTTATATGTAAGAGGACAGGCTCCAATGCCCGGATTTCACACATTTTGCCCTAAAATAAGATTTTAATCAGACAGAAAGCTTGTGTCTGGAGTCTGTCACCACTGTGCTTGTGAGACAGCTTGACCGGCGTCCCAGATACTGTGACAGGAGGTCAGCGGGACCTCTGAAAGGACTGCAGTCCCTCTTCTAACAAATGCAGGCTTGTTAGGAATCTGTCAGTCAGTGTCCATTGGCTCACTTCTGTATAACACACTGCAGGAGTGTACCGCTCACAGAACAAAGCAAACTATATACTGAGGAAAATAAAGGTCTACACGGAACAGAATATACATGCATCTTGTTTGAGCAGAAAAAAAGTAGCTGCCATACATTTTGGGCAAGATTGTTTTTATTTCTACATCTAAAACATAAAAAGAGTCCAACTGATGACCAATGTTCAGCCTATATCACCTAAATACCTTCCATGTGTATCAAAGCCTGTTTTCTTTTATAGAACAGCTACAGCCTGAGTAAAAAAGCCTGTCCCCTGCCAGCAATACCATAGAGATGGATCATTGCTCTATTTGTGGAAGCAGGGGTCTCTCTGCAGTGGTCCAACACACCCACTGCTGAGGTAGACCCACTGCATTGCAATCAGCAAAGCTCATGTTCCCTGCTGATTTTTAGATCTTTAGATCGGTAAAGAGACCACTGCTTCTGTACAGAGAGAGTCTTTCCTCTACAGCATGCTAGCAGGGGACAGGCTTATTTTACTCTAGGCTGTGGCTTCTTCTTTTCCCCCTTGATTTCAGTCACTGTCCTGAAACAAGTATGGAGATAAGGATTTCCGACGTTTCTCCGAGGGGTTTACTGACACATCCAATTGACAGAAATATATATCTGTGGGAAGATGGAGGCAAAAAAGAATGTTCCTCATCAGGACACAAAACTGCTACAAGCAAAAAAACAACTGAGTAAGCCCTGACGACAGAGACTTGATGCTTACACAAAGCTTCTTCCCTGTGCTCCCTCTGCAGTGGAGGAGCAGAGCAGTGGAGTAGCAGAGCAGTGGAGTAGCAGAGCAGTGGAGTAGCAGAGCAGTGGAGTAGCAGAGCAGTGGAGTAGCAGAGCAGTGGAGTTGCAGAGCAGTGGAGTTGCAGAGCAGTGGAGTAGCAGAGCAGTGGAGTAGCAGAGCAGTGGAGTAGCAGAGCAGGGGCAAGCTAAAGGTCCCCAAGGACAGCTGGAACATTGGCCAATCCCTGCTGAAGGTTTGCCTGCGCAACAGAAGTCAATTAATAAATTGACTGAGCTGGGTGGAAAATTATCAGGCAAACATTTATTGCATCCTATCATTTGCAGTCACTGTTCAGAGTCTCTCCTATACTCTGGAAACTCCCTATCCCAACATGTCCGGTTATCTCCTACTCTTTCTGCCTTAAGCTGATCCCTAAAAACTCATTTTTTCAGGGAAGCCTATCCCACCTCTACCCAACAACTGAACTCTTACTTTCTCAAACAACTCATCCCCACACAGCTACCATCATTTGTAACACTTGCCCCTCCCTTTTAGATTGTAAGCTCTCAGGGGCAGGGCCCTCGTAACTATCTTTTCTTGAAATGTACTGTCTTCCTTCAATTGTATAGCACTGTGCAAACTGTTGGAACTATTTAAATCCTGAATAATAATAGATCACAGGTAGTGCACACACACCAAAAATACAAATCATACAACCATCTGATCATTTTTCTAAGGTCGGCTAGTAAAATTTCAAAAAAGGTCACAAGATGTAAACCATGACCTGGACTTGAGAGGCCACAACTGTCTACATTACTATTATAAGGAGGTCTTTGGTGGTGGGCAACAGAATTTTCAGATGCCATACAGAAAATAAACTGGAATTGTATTAAATCCTAAGCCGGCAGCTTCCCTTCAAATGCACAGGTTCCTTATTGTTTACATGGCTACAAACTGTAAAGCCATTTTCTTCCCAGTGGGTCATCAATTAGCCAGTGTTAATGTGTGGTGTGATGAGAAGACAACAGGACCAACAGATAAGAGATGGGGCAGGACTAAACTGTTTATCCTCTGCTGCCCTTCACTTTCCCTGGCTGATATGCTTTGTCAGAAGGCCCTTTGTTTAGACATTCCTCAGGCTTAGAGCTTTCAAGCCTTAAGTGAGAAAGACAGAAAATATTGCTACAAGCCCTGTCAGTCAGTCTGGCGGCCAGGGCGCAGGTCACATGCTGAAGGTCAGATCCTCTGTGGCCACAATGACAACCAAACACGAGTTTGACAAAGCACAAATCTGCAATTAACAAGCCAGGCCGGGAATTAGGGCTTCCGCACAAGAGCGTCGTTTTGCCCAGTTGAACATGGATTCGGCTCTGTGCAGTTTCGGCATGTTTTCCTTCAGAAAATTCAGTAGAGAATAAAGCAGGTCTGAAATGACTACCTCCCAACTCTCTGCCGTGGGCAAGAGGGACGCCCGTTAACACAAAATAATTTGGGCAATTTAAAAATCCCTGGTCATGGGACTACGTAGAATCAGTGTAAAACAAAAATAGCCAGCATCAAAACAAAGAATACATCAAAACATGCAGATCAGTTACATTCATTGGTGATTTTTCTCATTTACTACTCTTGCTTTATGTAAACCGAAATAAGCAATGGAATAAATTTGAGGCTGGATATAAAAGTATAGCACGTCTGTTTGAGAAACTAGCCACTGGACTAAAACGCAGGCACGCATGTCTTTCATAGTCACTCATGAAGTGTTGAGGGCTGGCAAACACATTCCCACTGCCTATGCCTTCCAAACACCCCATCCCCATGATGGGAAACAAAAAATGTAGGACACTTTCCCTCCAGAGAAGAGCTAAAACTTGCCTATTATAACACCTCCGCTTTCAGGACTTCTGTGGGATTTTTAAAGGCATATTACTCAGAGGATTAGTTTTCTGAGATTAGGATTGACACTTATACCTTGCAGGACTGGGGTCCTTGGTTTAAATCACAGACAGGATAGAATCTGCATGGACTTTGCATGCTCTCCCTGTGCTGGTTTCCACCAGGTACTCCAGTTTCCTTCAACATTCCAAAGACCTACTGGTAGGTCAATTGGCTTTTGTCTAAACTTGCCCTAATATATGTGTTCCTAAATATCCCAACTGTGGCCTCCTTGGCAGATCCAGGGAACACTCTGTTGAGTGGCTACTGCAGCTCTCATTTTGAGCCACAGAAAATATAAGGTTCTAGGGTTCAAAGCGCACCAGAGATTGCAACATGGTCATGATAGTGGATGGGAAGGGGAGGTATGAAGGATCAAATGATTTGGTTTTAAAGGATAACTATGAGGTGAGTGCTTTTCACTCACCTCATAGTTCTAGCCGACCTGTGACAATGAGACTGTCACAGGTCGGCTCAGTAGATCGGGAGGTGAGCGAACACATACCGGCGTTCGCTTACTTCTCGATCCTGTCACAGCTCTCTGCCGTGACAGGGGAGGGACTGGATTCCACCCTCCCTGCTCCGATCCTCCAGCGCTGACTGGCGGAACGGACGGGGGAGGGGGCGGGTACAGCTGGCTCTGCCTCTAGATAGGCAGAGCAGCTATCAGTCACGCAGCAGGGGCAGATCCTGACATAATTGTCGGGATCTGCTTCAGCTGCGGCGTCTCAGTATACCGCGAGCTGTAGCTTGCGGTATACTGCGGCGTCTGTGTACCGAGAGCCGTAGCTCGTGGTATACTGAGCTTAGGGTGACGGGAGGAAGCTAGTTTGTGTCCTCCCGTTACCCTAAGGAGAACTAAGGGGAAAAGCCCTAACCCCATAGTTCTCCTTTAATGAGGGACTTTTACTCCAAAAGAGGGACATGAGCTGTGACATTGTTCTATATAAAATAGACAAAAAGACAGTAATGGGGTTTTCCAATTTTAAAGTATGCTTCTGACACAGATAGGGTTCTATGCAGAATTTCTGCCAATAAAGGGACTAACAGAGGTAATCCTGCATTAAGCAGCAATGTATCATCAGTAGTATTGGTAACATCATTCGATTTGCAGTGACCAGAGAGGAGAGGGCATGCAAAATGAACAGGAGTCACGTAGGGGTCTGGTTGGTCAGTTCTGTATAAGATCCCTACAAGCATGCTTTAGGTTTGATGAAAACTCTGACACTTTTAAACATATAGATTAAGATACTTTAAAATGATGTTATACCTTTTCAAACTTCTATCATAGTTGTAGCAGTAAGATCTATTTTTGTAATGTTCTGTTCCTTTTTTCTCTGTAATAATGTAACTGTGAGCTATGACAAGTGTGTGCACAAGGGATTATGTGCTGTCTGTTGGCACTAGACACAAGGGTACTACTTTTGCGATCACGTGTGTCATGTGACCAGACCCTGACCTGAACATTCCAGAGTAGCCAACTTTCCCATCCACAGTCAGCTACAGCGAGCATGTGGAAGGGGATTTCAGAAATATGCCAGCGATTAAAGTTTAATAAAACCTGCAGTAGATGGGATTAAAGCACATGGTGCTTGAGAATAGGAAGATAAGGACATTAACAAGCAGAGTGCAAGCAAAGCTGATTCAAATAGCTTTTTAAAGAGTGTTAGAACTCTCAGAAAATAAGAAGGTGAGATTGCTACATCTAAATTCCCAGCTCCACCCCCTACCTTTGCCACTGTCAGGGTGTCTCACTCTCGCTGTTGGATTTTTCAGTATTTATCCTCAAAATGAAACCCTGAGTTAAAATAGTTGTGTTTTAAAAATCCACAAGGTGACAGCCATCTCTTTGTAACGTGTATGTTGCTAAGCAAGTGAAGCCATATTAGATCAATTCTACACTAGGAATACATTTGGACTGATATCAGACTTCCATTTGGTCATTTGCAGTTGACTGAATATAGCTACATGTAACCCAGGGAACCCTTTTAAGGTGAACCCATGCTTTATCCATGAAGGGCAAAGTTCACTTTAACTTGGCCAGCAAAAGCCAAAGAAAGCTCATTGGTGTCCTAAGATAAACAGGGCTACAGGCTCCCCATGTGGTAGTGCTGACTGGCCCAGCACCGTCACATGGGGTGGGTCACATGCTCCTACATACCTGGAAGTACTGGTTATTTTATTTCGCTACCGGGGCTAAATAGAGCAGTGGGGGAGGAAAAGGAAAGGTAAGTATATGCTAGGGAGGGAGAGGGATTAAAGTAAACCTGTTTTACCCTACATGGGGAAAGCGCCATTGTGCTTTCAAGAAAATGCAGCATGAGCCATGGCATTGAAGAGTGGAGCTGGGAGCTCCCACAGAAAGATCACCCCTCTGGTGCAACCAATTGAAGTTTCCAACTGATAACTGAAAAATCGGATGTAGTAGGATAGACTCCCTAAGACTGTAAATTATATAGAAAATCATTAAATTGAATG